TTTGAGCCTGCCCTCTTGTTGTTCCATCATCTTTTGGGATCCAAACCTGTCCTCTTCTTGTCCCATTTGTCCCTGGGGTTTGTACCTGCCCCCTTCTTGTCCTCTTTGACTCTGGGTTCTGAACCTGCCCTCTTCTTGTTCCCTTTGACACTGGGCTCTGAACCTGCCCTCTTCTTGTCCCATTTGACTTCAGGCTTTGAACCTGCCCTCTTCTTGTCCCATTTGACTCTGGGCTCTGAACCTGCCCTCTTCTTGTCCCATTTGACTTCAGGCTCTGAACCTGCCTTCTTCTTGTCCCATTTGACTCTGGGCTCTGAGCCTGCCCTCTTCATGTCCCATTTGACTCTGGGCTCTGAACCTGCCCCCTTCTTGTCCACATTGACCCTGGACTCTGAAACTGTCCTCTTCATGTCCCATTTGTCTCCAGGGTGTAAACCTGCCCTCTTCCATTTTTCTGTGGGGTGTGAACCTACCCTTTTCTTGTCAAATTTGTATTTGGGTATGAACTTGCCTTCTTCTTGTCCCATTTGTCTCTGGAATCTGAACCTGCTCTCTTCTTCTCCCATTTGTCTCTGGGGTTTGAACCTGCCCTCTTCATGTCCCATTTGTCTCTGGAGTGTAAATCAGTCCTTTTCTCATCCCATTTGTCTCTGAGATCTGAACCTACCCTCTTCTTGTCCCATTTGGGGTCTGATTCTGCCCTTCTGAATAAATGCTCTAAGAGATTCAAAATGTCTCTATAAGATACTATGTAAACTCGTAGGGCAGAGATGAATTTCCACTGTGTTAGCTTATGTCCTGGAGTCTGCTGAGTGGTATAAAACTAAGCAAACAGTGCAAGGGGAATGAAAGGATGAAAGAAAGTTGCTCTTTGATTCAGTGGCTTGAATATAAGAAGTTGCTTTGTGGGATATTTGCTTCCCTACAATTACACAGCTTAGCACAGAAAGTAACAAGATATTACAAACAGGCAGGACATGGCATCACTGCCCTGTATATTGTAGACCAAGAAAAAACAGCACAGCCATGATACAATGATTTCTAAATTCCTTTATATGTTACTAAACAATAAGAAATGTTGATCTGTGCAACAGCTAATTACTATATTAAGCCTAAAAATTAGAGGCTGGGTGCTCATTAAGGAAAGTGGGAAAGGCAGAACATATAAAGTCTACAATTCATTTTTCAGACTTATTATTTAAAACAAAATGTGTACTGGACTGATAGCATTGGAGGGATCCTTAATGATAATTAATAGTATTGTTCCCGCCTAAAACTAAGGTCTTATTGGCATCTGAAGTAATCAACAGGCCATTTGCTCATCAGAATCCCTCAAATATGACCAATCCAGTATACTATTTCTTCAACAGTACCAATCCCCATTGAAGGGGGGCCCTTTAAAACCCCCAAAATGTGTTGGCTTTTTATAACATAAGAGTTTAAGTATAAATCAATAAAGACTTATACATTCTAATTTTACCACTTTCCTCCTTGTAACTTATTTAAGCAAAAAGTATTTTTGTATGGTATGTCCACCATCCCTGGAAGACCTGTCTAAAGAGAATGCTTCCCTCTACATTGCATGAGATCTGAATGAGAAACCCTAGTTCTACCACCTTAAAACACCAATTGTACTTTCTGAAAAATAGAGACAGCAAAGACTGTCAGGATGATGAAAACAGCAATTATGCCTTAGAAAAACCACATGCACCCATCTGGCATTGCCATAAATGTTCCGATAAATGGCGGCTACAGTATTTTTAATAGAATTAAAGATCCAAGCAGTGTGCTGAAAGAAACATATTAATATATATGGTTATGCAAAGCAGTAAACAATCAAATTTCAGAGCTGCCTTAAAGGGTTAATCCCCCCAAAATGGGTTATTTAGTGATGAGTAGTAGGTGCAGTCTGATAAACTGAGTCAACACGCTTTTAAATTACTTGGGTACTCCAATTCGAGACACCTTTGCCATAACTCTTAGCTCTGCTCCAGTCCAGCAGAACGTTTTGGATGTCTCTGCCCATCTTTGTGTACTCCAGGTCCCCTAGTTAAATTCTCCATGATGCTAGAAAAGAAAAAGATCCAAGAGGCTAAGCGGGAACCCCTCATAATGGCCACAACACAGGTATGCACACCTGAGAATTTCAATGTAACCCTGGCCCCGAAAAATATATTTAAAAAAAATGAGGGATGGTTTAACCAGCTAGCATCTACCTAAAGATGAAATACTAATCTTGATTGCGTATTTATAAAGCAGTGAATGTGACACTCGCCAAACACTTACAGGTAGCTTGTCATTTCCTACCAAAAGTTGGGATGATGGTTCCTGCAGCGGTTCCTGTGTGGTGATCATGCCAAGGAGGTTTCCAAGGGGCTCCGGGGCTGGGCGGAAGAGCGGACTCCAGGAAGGGTGTGACGGTGAGTCTCTATCCTTCTCTCCTTCTCTCCTGGGGGAAAACCATAGGCGGCGAGCAGATGGGCAGGCGAGTTGGCAGAGTTTTTGTGTTGCCTAGGATAGCACAAAACATAAATACACTACTGCCTCTATTAGAGAATACAGAACCAAGTATCATTTTGAAATTTGTATGGAATTTGTTAATGATAACAAGAAAAGCAGTAAAATAGATCCCCTGCAACCAGCAACAATAGACCAGGGTGGACTGACCATTTGGGAATTTAGGCACTGCCCGAGGGCCCAGGGTCAGTAGGGGGCCCCATGAGATGCCCCTGGTACCTTTCATAGGCTTTTTTGGGTGTGGTTTGAGTGTAGGCGAGGACACAGGGGCCACATGATCTCCTATTGCCCGGGGGCCCCATGAGTTGTCAGTCCGCCCCTGCAATAGACCCTACCCCCCAGCAACAACAGAGCCTTCAACCAAACAACAATAATTAACCACAAAAACAATAGACCCCCAGCAACAATGGATCCTCAGCAACAACAGACACTCTGCAGCAGCAACAGATCTCCCAGAAGCTAGCATCATTAGACCCTCCAATAGCAGCAACCATAGACCCCTTCCTCAACAGTAGATCCTTCTTAGCAACAATTGACTCCCAGTAACAAAAGACCCCCAACAACAATACATACCCCACCAGCAACAATAGACCCACACAGAAAAATAGATAACCTCCAGCGACTGTAGATCCCCAGCAGCCAGCATCAATAGGCCCTCCAGAACACCCAAGCACCTCTTGCCATTACATGCATTCAGTGCTGGAGGTGCCGGTGCATTCCCCCACGTACCTGCTGCAAAAAAAACCCTGGATGTTAAAAAGTGGATTATAATGTACAAATGCGTGTTGTAGTTTTGTTGAACCTGGCCAAAGGTCTTTATGTTAATGCTATTCTACTGTATGCTATTTATACCTGAAATTATTTTTTTTCACAAGTGATTATAAAGCGCATGTGAATTTGTGTAACGCTTTACATTTATAGTGTACATTCACATCAGTCCCTCAAGGAACTTATAATTTAAGGTCCCTAACTCACATACATGTGTACACCAATTTAGACAGGACCAATTAAATCTACCAGTATGTCTTCGGAGTGTGGGAGGAATCCAGAGCACCGGAAGGAAACCTACGCAGGTACAGGGAGAACATGTAAACTCCAGGCAGGTAGTGCATGGTTGGGAACCAAACCAATGATCCTAGTGCTGCTAGGTGGAAGTGCTAGCTACTGTGCTACCCAATATAAACCTTGGAAAGAAAAAAAAAGTTATGACTGTTGAGGATTCATTTTATCAGAAAAAAAAAATATGCTAGCCGTAGAACCAGATCTCATCAAAGACAATTATTTTATGGGTTTTTTTTTTTTTTTTTAATATACAGTATAAGGTATAATGGCAACAATGGCACTTCTTGATATTTTTAGCCAAGGACCACCGCCAGAAAATGAAGGGAAAAGCAGCTAGAAAGGGGAAAGAGAATGTCGGGAGGGAAAAAGAAAGAAGAAAAGATAAGGCAAAGTACTTTACCAGTTCAACTTTAGGGGGGTTGATTTTCTCAAACTGGAGAGTGCAACATCTAGCACAGCTGTGCATGGCAGCCAATCAGCTTCTAATTTCAGCTTCTTCAATTAAGCTTTGACAAATAAAATGTTAGCTGCTTGGTTTCTATGCAGAGGTGCACTAGACTTTACACTCTCCAGTGTTAGTAAATCAATCCCTAGGTGTCCAGGGGTACCCCAACATTTTTAGGACACTAGCAACTCCCCTGATGACACTGTATCTCGCATGATGTAAAATTTATAAGGAAACATCTAGCCATATAAATATAGAAAAACAATTAAATGTGATACTCAATATTTCTACATATTGGAGATGTCTAATAAGGCAATGCAAGTACAGCTAAAATAGGCAACAGCTAAAATTTAACAGCAATATGAAATAACACATACAGTGTAGTATATAAAAATATATAAAACAGTTAATAAATAAAATATTAACAGAATGCTATAAACCAACTGAAGGCAACGAGACAGAGATGTCACCTATAATAAAGTATTTTTCAGGTAAAACTGGATAAAAATTGCTCCAGACACCTCTAGTTACCGACTGACGGTCCCTAAGGCATAGAACGTGTCTTTAAATCAATAAAAGATGTATAAAAAACAGAAGGGCATTAGTAAGATCAGCATAACAGCAAAAGTATTCTCATAAACGTTAAATCTCACCCCGCCTCTTCTCTATTGTCCTGGACCAAAAATGCTCCAGGCATGTTTCACAAGGGATGCATGTTACATCTGTTTTCTTAAACAGGTGGGCAAAGCAAAACAGGTAAACAGACCATAAAAAAATGCTCGAGGAGGAATGTGCAGACTGAACACCTAGAGACCCACCCACTTTCCAATATAAAGGTGACTCGGAGAGCCAGTGAGCTCAGCTTCCTGCATCTTCTCTCCATCAGTCTCAGCTTAAGAGTCTCTCCAGTTTGTACATCTCTACTGCCTGCATCATGTCTGTGAACAGTTACCAAGTCAGGACCTCCAGCCAGAAGGGCAGCAGAAGCAGCTATGGAGGGTTCAGCAGCTCCTCATTGTCTGGAGCTGGATTTGGCAGTGGCTTGATGTCCCAAAGTGCCATCAGCAACTATGGAAGCTCTGGCTTTGGTGGCAGCATTGGCTTTGCTGGCAGTGCTGGTTTTGGCGGCAGCGATGGGCTCCTCTTGGGCGGGGAGAAGCAAACCATGCAAAACCTGAACGATCGTCTGGCGGCCTATTTGGATAAAGTGCGAGCTCTGGAGACCGCTAATGGTGAGCTGGAGAAGAAAATTAGAGAGTGGTATGAGAAGCACAACTCAGCAAACAGCTACCAAAGAGGAGACTACTCCAAGTACTTCAACATCATCGAAGATTTAAAGAGTAAGGTGAGCCCCATAATAGGGAATAATAAAAAAGGGAAACCAAAAGAAAATAATTAGAACTTATCTTTCATTAACTTGAATGCAATAAACTTTTGTTGCCATAAAATATATGTTACCATTAATCATTGCTGTTTCATTTATATCTTTGGTGTATAGAACTAGTACTTAAATCTACGATCAGCCATATTAGGCTAAAGAAGGTTTACCAGAGGTTAACTGCCGTGTTCTGTGAATGGAATGCTAGACAGGATGTCAGCTGTGTCTTTAACAACTGTCAGGGTATTTCAGTGAATAAAATGTACCGTAATGTACAAAGTGCAGAACCTATAGTAACCAATTAGATTTTTTTTACATATTCTAAAAAATAAAAGTGATCTTATGTAACACACTGTTTAAATCAATCCTAAATACATATATAAAATGTCCCTTATCAGCAGAGAATTGAAGATTTGGGGAGGTTTTTTTTTTTTGCATTTTTTTTTTTAAATAAGTGCACATTCTATGTGATCAGCCATATTAGGCCATGGGAGGCTTATTAGATGCCAAAAGTAGGATTTCATAATATGAAGTTCAAGTGGAACTCAGGTCAAAGTTTAAATTTACTACCATCGCTCCACCTTGCTGCTCCTTTGAATAAATTAATAGCAAAGCCATTCAAAATTAATATTTAATCTGTCTTCTGAGTATGGTCAGCCACTTGGTTTTGTATGATGATATGGGAGGCAATTGGAGGATGTTGGTGAGTTTTTCTATACACAAAGTTAAAGTGGACCTCAAACTTTGAATGTAGGTTAATGCTGCTCCTATGAATGCATTAAAAGTAATAGCCATGACATACTTAGATTTTCACTGGAGTGGATGCCCTCTATGTCTAACCAGTCACTGGGTTCTTCATGAGGCTATAAGGGGCTTTGGAGGCTGTTAGTAAGATTTCTAAACATGAAGTTAAGGTTGACATCAGGTAATACTTTAAATTCAGGTTTACTGCTCCATTCTAATGCTTTAATGAATGCAATAACGTTAACAGCCATGAAATGCTTGCATGTTCACTGGAATGGATGCCCTCTGGGTCTGACCAGCCACTGCGTTCTGTATGAGGTTATGGGAGACAGTAAATGAGACGTCGATACATGAAGTTAAAGTGGACCTCAGGTCAAACTTTACATTTAAGTTCATTGCTCCATCATTATACTCCTAGGAATAAGTTAACAGTACCAATCACAACTTTCTCAGATATTCCCTGGAGTGAATGCCTTCTGGGTCTGACTAGCCGTTGGCTTCTGTATAAAGCAGAAGTACTGGTTGGCTGCTTCTGCCCTTAGCAACCAATCAGTACTTTTACCTTACATAGAGTCCTTTAGTGCTTTTGCCTTATACAGAACCATCACCATTAAGAAGTGTTAGGATGTGGAAAACAGGGGGAAGTGTTTCAGGTCCAGGGGCGGACTGACAACTCATGGGGCCCCCAGGCAATAGTGGATCATGGGGCTCGTGTCCTTGCCCAAACTCAAAAAAGCCTATGAAAAAGGTACCAGGGGCATCTCATGGGGCCCCCTACTGACCCCAGGCCCTCGGGCAGTGCCCAAGTTTCCAAATGGTCAGTCCGCCCCTGTTCAGGTCCATAACTATTATTTCTGTTATAGAATCAGCAAGAGGCAGCCGATGACATAAAGTAAATTTTTGGCTTTTTGGTTGCCTTTCCTGCTTGTCTTCATACTAGAGGTGTATTATTAAAGTAAAGTAAAAAGCAATGCACAGAGTGCCATAACAGACCAGCCAATCAGAATTCATATTTCACTGACCAGATTGTAGTAATGTATAGCCATTCTCAACCAGGGTTCCTCTAGAGGTTGCTAGGGGCTCCTTGAGCTGTGGCTGATTGACCTCCCATCTGATGGGGCATAGGTCTAGGTCCGATGGCACTGGAGAACCAACAGTATGACAGAAGTGATCTTTTTTAGCAAGGGTAACATTCTGACCACCACTGTAAGGGGGCCACTGTTCATCAATATAAGGAGCATTTTCATATTCATCCTAGTTAGTTTAGGTAAGGATTTCCAGAGACCTGAAAATTACTTTAGTGTTCCTCTAGGGTAAAAAGGTTGTGAAAGACTAGTCTGGCTGTGGTACATTGCTGTAATGTGTTGTCCAGCAGTCATTAAGCACTTAGATAACTGTACAAAATCATACCTTTGCTATATACTGTATTTCTGTATACAACAAATAGGAAACTAATCCCTATGGGAAGTTGGGATATTTTTTGTTTACTGTTTTTTCCCATTATAAATTTAATAATAAAGAGGTGGTATTGAGTGAAGGGACATAAACCATAAGGTTATCAGGTTACTTTTTTGCACAATGCATGGCGTCATACTGAAATACAACCTGCTGCTAGTAATTATCCTCTATACATGCAGTGAGATAGGGATGCCTAGAAGCAGTTTTTCTTATTTAACTATAGAGCAGAGCATATACTATGATTATTCAAAAGTATATTATCAGATCTATAGGGCACGGTTATAAAATCATATATCACATCTACTTTTTTATATAGAGTAAGCTTACTGTATTGAGTCAAGCCTGAAAGATGAATCCTGATTATTTGAATGGGTTATTACTTACTTTGCATGTTGCCTTATGAAGCAGACATTGGAAATACAAAACCATCCTTTTTTAAAGAGGTATTCTACCTTCAGATTCATTTGTTCTCTTAGTTTCAACATACTGTTCTGCAGGTTTTACTGTACAGTCAACAAATATGCGGAAGTTCATACCTGTTATGCAATGCATAGGGTTTACAGTAGACTTTGACAGCTAACCCACAGTTGTGTTCTCGGATATTAGTCGTGTTTTACTGTAAGATAAAGTGTGTGACGAAGAAGGTGGAAAACACTTTAATATTATGTTACCATCCTTAACCCCTTTATAACTGCAATAGGACATTTAAACTTCAAATCTAAAAGGCCTCCTGCTGTGAAACCATTAAATAGTTTTGCAGCAGATGAATAGGAATGCGCAATTTCTTGTGCTCCTAGTTCCAATGTCAAACAGACAAATTAGACACCGAGTTATTGTCAAGCTAACAGACACTGCTAAACTTGGTCTAGGCATCCTAGGCTTCAAAAAACCCTTGGAAACAAAAGGGGTTAATTCTTAAAGAAAACTTGCCTATACTCTTACAGGTACTGGGTATGCTACCACCCTTCATTTCATAAGATGACATTTGAATCCTAGATACCTGTTTTCCCCTGTATCTTCCTATTATACAGTAAAGCAGTCCATTATCATGATGTGCCAGTAGGGATGTGTGGGAGGTGATAATGGCACGCAAGACGTCAGCACTGTCAAAAAGTGTGAAAATTTGCATGTTACAGATTCAGGGCTTCAGGACCCTGGAGAGGGCACCAATAGGTATCTGTAAGTCATAAGATCAGCACAATGGTAGAGGAGCATCTCAAAAAATGTCCAATTTATATTCACAGAATAAAAAAAAGTCCAATTTATATTCACAGAATAAAAAAAAAAAAAAAAAAACAAGATAATGTTTTGCTCAGACTTTAAGATGTAGAATTTACCTTGGCAAAAATGGGGCTCAGCAACGATGTGTAGCTTCAATCAGCACTGGTCCTGTAGCACAATGGGAACTCTAGAATTGTGCTCATCTGGCTGCATTCCACATGTCAGATAGGATCAGCATCAGACAGTAAGGAAAATAGTATTTTCAGAAGCAAAGACCAGAAATGGAAACCACTATTCATCTGTCATTACAGGTTCACTTAAAGCCTCCTGAAAATCTTTACAATACTTTGGCATATCAGTGCGGTCAATGAATAGGACTGCAAGTCAGATTGATGCACATTTGTCAACTTTGTATTTAAATGTTTAATTTTATAATATATTTATTTTTTTAACCTAATTAATTTTTAATTTTAATTTTTTTAATTTGATGACAAGTGTGGAAGAGGCATTGACAGTGTAACTACTGTTCTGAATGTGTCACAAGGCTTTGATGATGGATACTGAGTGTGTGTTTCCACTGTTTGCATACACCTGCCATTTGGTTGCCTGCAGGCTCTCAGGATAAAAGGTTTTCTGTGTCTGGAACTCTGCTAATAAGTCCAATATACACTGAAGGATAATAAAAACATGCTCCCTTTGACAGAATGCATTCGTTTGTGTGCTATAAAAATAGAATCAAAGAGATAATATCATAAATGAAAGTAACAGTTGGAACATCAATGTACTATAAAATAAAGAACACATTAAAGAAGATGGACTTTAATTTAACATCATTATCTTTAATTATCTATATGATAAACAGCTTTACAACAATATTGTGGATTCAGTATGAAATTATATATAATTTTCCCATTTAAATATATTTTCTTGGCTGTTTAGTGGTAATATTTGTGGATTACTCAGTGATGCTGTGCAAAGAACACCCATAAAGGCTGCCAGTCCCATCATTAAAATTGCTAAATAATGTCTTCTGGTCTTGCCGTGGCATGACCAAACATCGTGCTGCCGTGAGAGGTAGAAAGGATTCTGTTTTGGGCAGAACTTCACATTCCATAACTAAAACAAATAAATAATACAAAGTGTAGTAGTCAATACTTACTTGGCAGTTTGCATGTTTTATTGTAATGGCTACAGAAATCTGACTGGATATTGTTATTTATCATTGCACATTAAAGGTACTTTCACACTTGTAGTGAAGTGCAGTGCCCTCATTTTCAGATCATTTTGTATAGGGCCTTTGACAGGCAGTAATCACCATCTGATCCAAAACCGAGTTTCTTGTCTTCCCCCCAGCCCGGACCCCACCCCCCATTGACTTCTCCATCACATCCAACAACGCCAATATCAAACCCGCCCCGCAGGCCAGAGTACTTGGTGTCATTCTGGACTCCAACCTATCCTTCCAGCCCCAAGTCCAATCTTTAACAAACTCATGCAGACTCCACCTCCGCAACATCGCCAAAATACACACGTTCCTAACCCCAGAAACCACTAAACAGCTCATCCACTCCCTCATCATATCACGACTCGAATACTGCAACTCCCTCCTCACTGGCCTGCCTCTCCACAGGCTATCCCCGCTTCAGTCGATCCTGAATACGGCTGCCAGACTTATTCACCTTTCCAACCGCTCCGTTTCCGCCACCCCCCTCTGCAAATCCCTCCACTGGCTTCCGATTGCGCAACGGATCAAATTCAAAATCCTAACACTGACGTACAAAGCTGTCCACCATACTGCCCCAAACTACATCACTGACCTAATATCCAAGTACCACCCAGCATGCACACTCCGCTCCTCACAAGACCTCCTTCTCTCTAGTTCCCTGGTCTCCTCCTCCCATGCCCGCCTCCAGGACTTCTCCAGGGTGTCACCCATCCTCTGGAACTCCCTGCCCCAACCCATCAGATTATCACCTACTCTCCTCTCCTTTAGGCGCACCCTGAAAACCCATCTCTTCAGGGAAGCCTACCCCACCCCCTGCTAACTTGCCGACCTCCTCCACTCTTCCTACCACTCCATCCCCCACAGCTATCTCCTCCTGTACCACTATCCCCTCCCTCCTAGATTGTAAGCTCGAAAGAGCAGGGCCCTCAATCCCCTCATGTTTGGCATTGTATTGGTATTGTTCTGTCACATGTTCTGTCCCCCTTTGTAATGTACAGCGCTGAGCGAACTATTGGCGCTTAATAAATACTGTATAATAATAATAATCTGATTTAACCCTGTAATGCCGCACTACCATGCAACAATTGCTTGGATTGCATGTGGTTGTGGTGCAGTTCCAATTAACTCAATGGGCTAGTTTGAAAAATGGTACAGCTTGTCAAGATTTGCACCCCAAGTTAAAAATTCCACAGCCACAAAGCAAAGCATTGTGGCCGCGGCATGTATACAGCTCCATCCGGCTGTTATTTTACAGTTCGGGTAGGTTTGCAGTTCGGTTGCCCATTTTTTCTGCCCCTGACCACCCATTTGATAGAGACCTATCATTGTTTTTTTTGTACTATGTAATTAATGAAAGCTTATTTTGATGACAAGACATACTATTTTTAAGCCTGATTCAAGTGAACCTGTTGGCCTATTTTAAATTAAGGGTGCCTACATAATATAGAATTTTTCACCTGATCTGGGAAATGACAGACTGGGGAACATTAAAACAATTTGCAAGCACTTTCACAGCTCTGGCCAAATTTCCCAAGCCAAGCCTATAATGCTAGGGATATATTTTTACTGACATTCACTACCTACTACTGCTTTCTGTAAGACAGGACTCAACAGCACTCATTTATAGGCACAAACATGCAAGTTTTCCAGTTTTTCCCAATACATAGATTCATGTTTGTACAAAGGTCATTAAAATGATTGTTCAGTGGCCAGGGAGTAATGTTTGTAGGTGGCTTTAAATTCCTTAAGCATAACAGTCATCTCAACAGGCCTACTGAAAGAGCAAAAGATCCGCATCAAGTGAGTGCCAAATCTGCATAACCCCTCCACAGACACGCAGGTGCTGGCCCGATCCATGATCACAGAGTGGAAAAACAGAATGGTTGGCCGCACAAACAGCAATGTGGTGGATGAAATCCTTTATTGCAATCCTTTACATGCAATATGATAAGAACATGACAGCTCCAAGACAGGACAGAGGAGCAGTAGATGAGTTTCACAACAACACATGCTTAGTCATTACCTCAATCCTTATTATCTCAACAGCCCTAGTAATACCTTTATTAACCAAAAAATGCCCTTCTTTGCCCCTGTTACTTGGGAACTTGACTTCTCCAAATTTCGACATGAGTCATACAGTCAAAGCTAAGCTCCATCCAATGGTCAATTGTGAGAATTACTCTTCAGCCAACAGTGAAGAGAAGTTACTTCATGGGCAAGGCTTATTTCCAAAGTCAGAGAAGGCAAGACCTCTAAAGTCACAGTTAGCAGGGATCTCAAGGCTTATAAGAGATGATTGCAGGTTATCAAGTACCTACTGATGCTTACATTGACAATCCTGGCTCTAACTGCTAGTTGCCTGACTGTGATGCTGATCCTACTTATTGAGGAATGGACTCTTAGCAAACAGACAGCTAATACATTTGTCTACTTGTTGCATATGACTCACCAATAGTGAAGCTGAAGAATCATCAAAAGTCATCAGGAATGGTCCTTAAAGTATATCCTTAACAATTTTTAAACATTAGATAGAATATAGGAAGAGTACTGTATGGGGAAGGATAAGAACTCCTGTCAGGATTGTTTTGTTTTCTGTGCCCATTACAGAAATTTCCTGGAGAAGGTATATTCCCTCTTAGATAACTGTCCATAGATCAGGTGTCCCCATTGCAACATTTTCTATTGGCCTCTTTTCTAGTGACAATTTGAAAAGTTTGGATTTCCAATCACTTTCTGTGCCAGGAACAAAGGTCCTAGAGGGGGAACACAGACAGCAATAAAACCAGACAGAAGTTTTAACCCTTCCACAACATACCCAAATGCCGAATCTTGAATGATCCAGTAGCCATATGATTGTTTCAATAAAAAAAGTGCTGAAAAGACATACACTTTTCCATGGTGTAAACATGTCTGGATGTTCCTTTAAGGTGGATGAGGGGGAGCACTGAAGAAGATATCATCTTGCAGAAGACAATAGAAATTGACCTGAGAAAACTATATTGTCCATGAAGGCTCGGTTAGGGAGTTCCCATGTTGAGCCTACAGACATGGCCATATTGGGCTCATGCCCTCTGTTGACTGTGATCAACTTTACTTAGCAAATCTTTCTTCTCCCCAGAAATTTTGTCTTGTAGTTGGCCTGGAATACTGTGTTTTTAAAATATACATACCATAATATGTTTCCTTTGGTCGGTACACTGATAAAATGGTTATCATGTTGTACAAATCGACAGCAGCTTTTACAGGTGTGAATGTTGAAAGATTTATTGGAATGTTGTCTGTGTAAGCCATTTCCTCTTCCCTTGGGCAGATGATCAGCTAATGAGTGTTGTCAATTACTTGTATTAACATGTGTTACAAAGATAAGATCTTTCAAGCAGAGTGAGGTGTATTATGATCAAAGGCCAATTAATCTTTCCTGCTTTGTGTCCAACAGATTATCGCTGCCAGTACAGACAATGCTAGAGTGGTCCTGCAGATTGACAATGCCCGACTGGCTGCTGATGACTTCAGAATGAAGTAAGTAATCTTCAGAGATTCGTTGATTTCTAAATAATGAGTCATCTCAACAGATTTTTGTTTAAAACGCCACCCAAATCAAGATTTTCTAGTGGTTGTCTATCAAAGCACACATCTAAAGAGAGTCAAAAGGAAAGCATAATGTTTTTGTAATTCTTTTCTTTAGTTATGTAGGACTAAAAAAAAAACATTTAAAATTGTGTTTTCACTTTTAGATTGCGGAATAAAAAATATGGCATGTGAATATTTCAAATTTACTCTTTTCATCCAGCAAGTGCAGCATGTTTACTAGGTGAACCTTGAAGGCCAATTATATTTTCAATTTATATATTCTAGGTGCAGCAAGCAAAAGGTGTTCAAAGTCTTATACTTAATTAAGAAAGCAGCCACAACCTAGTAGTAGACGCCTGTCCCCTCCCAATGTGCTGCAGAGAAGGACCACGGCTTCACCACAGAGATCAAGGGTCATTCTCTGCAGCATGCTGGTAGTGGACAGGTATTTCCACTCAAGCTGTGGTTTCTTTCTAAATAAAACAAGCAAGGCTGGCTCTACACCTATGGATTGCATTACCGCACAATAAAAATGTTACTGCATGGTGCTCTGTGTTTAGAATAGCATCCCAAAGCAACAGTACAATAGATGTCAACAAACCGATTGCAGTACCCTGCAATAAAAAAATTATTAAATGGGCTGTCTTAACACAACGCAGATTAACCAATGAATACTTAACTTTAACATGCATGAAGTAATGCACCTACCTACAATGGACAGGTGTAAATGGAGACTAAAGAAAAGTTATTCTTTGATTTTAAAGAAAAAGTAAATGTTTAAGTAAGGCAGCCAATAATGAATGTCCTTTCTCTATGCCAGGTATGAAAATGAATTGAGCTTGCGCCAAAGTGTGGAGACTGACATCAATGGCCTCCGACGTGTCTTGGATGAACTGACACTCGCCAGGTCTGACCTTGAGCTGCAGGTTGAGTCTTTGAATGAAGAACTGGTTTTCCTCAAGAAGAACCATCTAGAGGTAGGAAGATCATTTAAAGGGTTAACTGAATCAAAGTTGACATTTCAGCCAAAGATACATGTTAGCACTCTTCAAGAGTTCTTCCCCTTCAGTAGCAGAGAAATGTATTTAGGGCAAAGGGATGGGTCCAGAGCTAATAACTCCATTCAGTGTCTGGATCACATCACTTTTCTTAATAATACACGTTAGGCATTGGATACTGGTTAGAGAAGTCTTCTTGTAAATGTAATGCTACTACACCATACAATGGATAAATCAGGCACTTTTATAGTTGACAAAATGTTAATGATGCTAAAAATGTGATACTATGCCACAATAATACCACATACTAAAATGACATGTACCTTAATACATATTATTGCCTCACATGAATAGGAGATGGATGCCCTTAAGGGTGGCACCGGCCAAGTCAGTGTTGAGATGGATGCTGCACCAGGTGTGGACCTAACCAAATATCTGAATGAAATGAGAGCCGAATATGAACAACTGGCAGAGAAGAACCGCAAAGATGCTGAAGAATGGTTCCTCAAGAAGGTTAGACATCACTATAAAGAGCTTTGTCACCTTTTCATTCTTCTCTCATTATGTTTAGTTGTAATTGGTTAGAAAATCCTTAACACAATTCTAACATTGATAATTTCAGAGCAGTGAACTGAAAAAAGAAATTTCCATTGGTGTACAAGAAGTCCAGACTAGCCGCACTGAGATCTCAGACCTCAAGCGTACATTACAAAGTCTTGAAATTGAACTACAGGCACAAGTCTCCATGGTAAGTATAATGTCATATTATTGATATTAAAGCATTTGCTTTATAATGCAACCATTTCTAATGTCTACAAAACTGTTTTAATGGATTTCCATAATTAACACAAACATAGGGACCTCTTATTTCTAGAAAGTATGGACCACTGGAGAGGTTCTCCTTCTTAAAATACTTTGTTCTTCAAAAACAAAAGTTAATAATAGCTTTCTGTTGGTCATATGGAGTAAAGGCAAGGCCTTGTTAACAGAAATTAATGTTTAACATTTTAAGTTTGTTACTATTCTTGATTCAAAACATGACCAGCCCTTTAATTAGACCCTTTAATTGATATTTAAATGCTATTCCTTTGCTAGAGGAAAGTCATACAACATTTTTTCACCCCTAGAAAAACTCCCTGGAAGGAACATTATCAGAGACAGAAGGTCGTTACTGTGCACAACTGAACCAGCTCCAGATCCAAATCAGCAGTGTTGAAGAACAGTTGCAGCAAGTCAGATCAGACATGGAAAGACAGAGGGCAGAATATGCAAGACTTTTGGACATCAAGACCAGACTGGAAATGGAGATTGAAACCTACAGACGTCTGCTAGAGGGAGAACTTGGGTAAGAAGAGTTTTCTAAGAAATAGAGACTGAAGCCAAATAAGATTGTCTATACTAAATTTGATCAGGGATAAAGGGTATGTCCAAACATAACCCAACCATGAACCCCTCTCTAGAGCATTTTTCTACCTTGTTCCTTAAGGGAGAAACTTCTTTTATTACTCCTCCCTATTTCATGACCAGGGTTGTAAATTTCTTGCAGAGACAGTTCATAGGAGCTTAGTTTCTCTTGACATAGGCACCTACCAAGAACTTCATCTCACAAGAGCCCTTTTCTTACATACAGTGTGTGGGGAGGTCCTTGGGAGTCAAGGCAGTGGCATTTTTTCACTTGGAAAGAAATCAATGTATGCATGTGGAGTGTAACAGAGAGGAATTGGGGGTAGAGTACTGTCGTCCAGCAGGCAGGGTTGACAACACACCTTGGGAATTCAGCGCAAAAAAGCCACTACAGTTTTTAGCCCTAACTGGAAAGTGGAAGTACATTGGAACTGGTATTTTTCTGTACTTGCAGCATTTGCAAAGGGATACAACATGGCAAAATGTGGTTTTAGTGCATAGATGTACTAAATATATATATATATTTTAATTTTGTTCAAACATACTCTTCCAATTAAAATTAAAAATTGGTAAATTTTCAGAGTTACACATCGTGTTGCCCAAATAGTCCTTCCTCTGATTCTATTATAACTGACTTAAAGTGATCAAGTGGTCACGTCTGTTGTTGGGTTTTATTTGTCATATACATTATATTGTCAAAAGTATTGGGACACCCCTCCAAATCATTGGATTTAGGTGTTCCAATCACCTCCATGGCCACAGGTCTATAAAATCATCACCTAGGCATGCAGACTGCTTCTACAGACATTAGTGAAAGAATGGGTCGCTCTCAGGAGCTCAGTGACTCCAAGTATGGTACCATGATAGGTTGTCACCTGTGCAATAAATCCGTCCATAACATTTCCTGGCTACTAAATATTGCACGGTCAACTGTTAGTGGGATTATAACAAAGTGGAAACAACTGGGAACAACAGCAACTCAGCCATGAAGTGGTAGGCTACATAAAATGACAAAGCGGGGTCAGGGCATGCTGAAGCACCCAGTGCACAGAAGTCACCAACTGTCTGCAGAGTCAATAGCTAAAGACCTCCAAACTTCACGTGGCCTTCAGATTAGCACAGCAACAGTGTGTAGAGAGTTTCATGGAATAGTTTTCCTGGTTGAGCAGCTGCATCCAAGCATTACATCACCAAGTTCAATGCAAAGCGTCAGATGCAGTGGTGTAAAGCATGCCACCACTGGACTCTAGAGCAGTGGAAACGTGTACTCTGGAGTGATGAATCATGCTTCTCGGTCTGGCAATCCAAAGGTTGTGTCTGGGTTTGGCAGCTGCCAGGAGGAGGGTACTTGCCTGACTGCATTTTGCCAAGTGTAAAATTTCGTGGAGGGGGGGATTATGATGTGGGGTTGTTTTCAGGGGTTGGGCTTGGCCCCCTAGTTCCAGTGAAGGGAACTCTTAAGGCATCAGCATACCAAAACATTCTGTACAATTTCATGCTCTCAACTTTGTAGGAACAGTTTGGGGATGGCCTCTTCCTGTTTCAACATGACTGCGCACCAGTGCACAAAGCAAGGTCCATAAAGACATGGATGAGCATGTTTGGGGTGGAGGAATTTGACTGGCCTGCGCAGATTCCTGACCCATAGAACACCTTTGGGATGAACTAGAGTGGATACAGTGAGCCAGGCCTTCTCATCCGACATCAATGCCTGACCTCACAAATGTGCTTCTGGAAGAATGATCAAACCTTCCCATAGACACACTCCTAAACCTTGTGTCCAGCCTTCCCAGAAGGTTGGGCCAACTCAATATTGAATCCTACCAAGACTGGGATGCCATTAAAGTTCATGTGTGTGTGTAAAGGCAGACATCCCAATACTTTTGGCAGTATAGTGTATGTGTGCAAGTGTTATATTAGTGATAGAATAAGAATGTATAAATTCAATGTGAAAAAGATCAGGGCACAAGTGACACAATTGACATAGATATGTTTCTTTTTAATGATATGTTGAAGTTTCAGATACAAATAAAGCTAAATTCTAAACTAAGATTTTTTTTTCTGTAATTACAGAAGTCTCGCTGTGCAACAAACCAAATCTCAAACATCATCAGTGGACTCCAAAAAAGGTAAATTTTTGGCCATGCTTTGTCCAGCTGTTGACGATAAAGGTATCGCAAGTGTACATATAAATTCTGTAACAACAAAGGTCACTTTTTGACATAGCTGTAGTACATCAGGTGGTCCTTTGCCTTCTCTTTGAATAAAACTTCTCTTTGGCAACTTAAAAGCAAATGACACCGAAAATCAAGTTCTAGATAGTGTGGCAAGCATTAGATCCTCTTCCCTTGGGGAGATTTCTCCCCAATTCTCCACACCTTGATAGCTGTCATTAGAACAGAAATTCTCATTGAGTGATTTCCTTTCTATTCCGAATGGCTGATAGCAGTGAATCAAATTCTACTGGATTTGTTCTGTAATGCTGAAGCTCATAGCTTATTCAAGTTTATCCAAGTCCCTTCCTCAGTTCTAATGAAAGTCAGGAACATATCCCAGCATTTCAAAAGCTACACAGGTCACCTTAATAAAATCATTATAGAAAGTGTCAAGGCAGATGTTGAATGTTCAAGTGCACAATGGAAAGTGTGAACGTCCATGGAACCAACGCATTGTACCTTGATGTTGTATATGAGTCAGATTATGTAATTAGAACAGAGTGACTCCACAAAAGGAACATTTTTCATAAATTCACAAAAACTTTCACACAAGACTCTTTATACCTAAAACAACATGTAACTATCTCCAAAAATCACATTCTTGGTTGGTTCACTTAGCAGCCCAATGTTACTTGAATATAAAGCAGACAGCATTTTGACTCTACTAATTATTTCTGACTACTGGCAAAAAAAAAAAACGCGTAAGAGGAGGTGTCTCGTATTTTTTATATGCCCTATCCTGGCCACACACCTTTTTACCCTACTGTACAATCTCCCTTGGATTTACTGACAGCTATGTTGTGAAGGGGTCTAACCATTATAAACTGAATGGACTGCCCAGACAGGCCCTCATACTACATAATTGTTCATACAGCTAAAGAAGTTTTACTGAGATTGTATAATCAGAATGTAATGGACATGCTCAGTATAAAACAGCAAAATGTCAAAAGACAGAAATGGCATTTTAATGTACAACCAATCTAACCACTAACAACTTTTAATGCAGTTTACTGTTAAAGAAGACTATGATTAGAAAGCCCAATTCTTGTGTATTCCAGATCCCACAAAGATAAGGAAGGTAAAGACCATTGTTGAAGAGGTGGTGGATGGAAAAGTCGTTTCTTCCGAAGTGAAGGAATTGGAAGAAAAGATCAATTAGATTGGTGATAATGCAGGCACAATGAGCTACTGGTTGATGTAGGATGGTTGCAGAACTAAGATAAGCTCATGAAATTTGCATTACAAGTATTTGTGAAAAAGCTACTGTTTGTACTAACACACAACGAATGTGTTTTCTGTTCTGACTTGCCATACACACTATGTGAAAAACAGAAAAAAGTGTAAGAAGATGAAGCTGAACCATTATGGGGCAATGACAATATCCATCAGTCCAGCCTATGTGTCTGTGTTTGTTGCAATAAAGCATTACTTTAATTTCTGTGCATGAAGTCTTTTACATTCTTCATGTGTATCACCAAGATGTACTTAAGCATCTCAGATGGAGATTCGGTATTATTTTATGTTCTTCACAAATGTTTGAGTAACTAGTAAGAGCTGGAAAAATCCCAGGAGCCTGGCAGAACTCTACAAAGCACCATCTAAACAGATCAGGTAGGGAGGGGAAAGAGTCCCTCCTCCGACTATTCTTTTCGCTTTCTGTTCATCACTATTATGAATTTTAAGTATTTCTGATAAGTGGTTAGTAATAATTTTTACAAATGTTCTTCAAAAATGTTTGAGTTTCTAGTAAGGAATACAAAATTACTAGGAGCCTGCCAGAAAGTCCATACAGCCCAGAAAAGGGCAAATGAGGACACATTTCAAAATGAATGGTTGTATTACTACTATTTGCATTCTGAGCAAATGGGAACAAGCACTCATTCTCTAAGTGCTTCTTACAATGTCGTAGACACACTTGAGAGTTACTTAGATAAACATGCTTACATTGGTGAATTGTGTCACCAATTCAAAGATAGAAACCTATAGGTGAAAGAAGAAAAATAAACTGTAAATGTCTGAGTCACCTCTCCCTAACTGGTCTTCAGGACAATGAAGGTTATACCACTTCTGTAAATTACAGGTCATAATTCATTTAAGCTACATACCTGTCAAACTAAATAATAATGCCTTTATTTATTTTTTTATGTATGCCTTTACTTGGGGATACTGGCTGCCTGCTAAATGGCAATAATCCTCCTGAAATTGAAGTTCTGTACCTGACAGTGATACAGGCTAAATGTCTATAGTTACTAGGATCCTTATTCTTTAAATCACCCTGAACACTGGACAGGTATTAGATCCCTCTGCACTGCACAACAACATAAAATAAGAGGTTGTGGTCTCAGCTTGAAGTACTGTAATTAGTCTACTAAATTTAGTTCAGTTGGATGTTATACTGAGATTAAAATTGACAGCACAGTTGACGTATTTTCTCAGAAGCACTGGGCAGTTTGCTTCCTGACTCCACTTTTCAACTGAAGTAGCACTTTAAAGTTTAGTTTAGTAAAGTTCTAAGATTAGGTTGACAGTGAAAGACCTTCAATGTCAAATTCAAATATCCATACTTTGGGGTACATAAAGCATATACTGTATCTTCTGAGCCTAAACCACCCAACACCAGAAGTTTCCAGGTCTACACACTCAGCCAGTGCACCCAATCTACACCCTACAGTGCTCATTGCATTCTTTGAGTGGGGGCATCACTCCCAAGATGCAACCCAATCCCTCTG